GTAACGCGAAGCAAGATCGCATGATATAATTTAGTTTCGAGTAACAAAGTATTCTCCTAGTTTTTGTTCTGCCGTGTTAATTACCTAACTATCTGTCTACAGTGGGAGCCTTTAACTGGATTCTTAACTTGACTCGCGATCGAAATGGGAATCCACTCGTACTCCAGTTGATTTTACTGTTGAAGTTGGTGTTATTATACAGATGCCTGATTACTTCTGCGATAATTGTGGGAAAAAAATATCACGCAGTTTTACTTCGATTCCTCTGTTTGAAGAAGCAGATCGGGATGTTTTGCAACTTCGCTAACGAGGAATGCAGGAACAATGAGGATGTTTATGTAAACGTGTTATAGCAGTTTCTTCCTTTTTTTTTTGGGACTTATGTAACGTTAGGCAGAGAGTCGCTTGTTCAAGCGTGAAAATAATTGTTTTACCTTTTGTAAATAATATCAAAATGGCCGGTAAGATAAGATGAAATGTCAATCATTGCATTTGGATTAATTATAATAATTAACATTAATCATAAACATTTATATCAACCGCGAATATATATTTTATGAAAGTGAATGCATCAACATCGAAGCACAGTTTTAATTAAGAGAGTGACAGTAACGTAGAAAAAGAAAAAAAAAGAACGAACAATCAATCAATATATCTCAATGGTAAAGTTGAGACGTGAAACTCCGAAAGAAACCAAACGTCGAGGGGGCAAAGAAAAAAAAAAAAAAAAAGAAAAAGAAAAAAAAGGACGAAGGCACTTTCTTCCTATTACCGAAGCGTCGGTAGAAAACCGGAAGCGCACGCCGGGATCCCGATGTAGGAAGAAGCCGATGGCCAGCAGTGTACAGCTATAATTCACGCATGGCAGAATCGTCGCGATTTTTTCCACTTTCACAAAAGTTCGCCTATCTAATAAGACCGGCTGCACACTTTCATATACGGTTATGTATTCCTTGTAATTCTCTGCCGGTTCCCGTGGCAGGCATAACTTTTTACATAACACGGAGAGAAGGAACAATCGCTGACGACGCCGTCGTTAACCATTCCGGAGAACAACCGGTGCAGCCTATTATTTATCGCTCGTTGTTCGAACGTTGAATCTTTGCCACACGCGCCTGATGTTCTCCTTTCCCTTTTTTCCTCCGTTTTCTGAAAGAATTGAAATCCTCCGGATCGATGATTTGTTTTTTCCTTTTTTTTTTTCTTTTTTATCGCTTTAAGTCAATTTATAGCGAAGCTTTTGTAACTTAGTGATACGAATTTGAACTCTAACGAATCCTAGTATAAAAGCGAAAGATTGTTTAAGCTTTTCA